GTAACTCCCTGCTGGACCAGGATATTTTTTAAAATTTTGTTCGTATTGTTGTTTTCAAATCGATTTTATTTCAGAGAGGAAAAAAAAAAAAGAAAAAATTCAAAACATGCTAATCAGGGGCAGCAATGGTACCTACATTGCGCATTGTCATCCCCAAATCATTCAACTGGAGCACAGGACGTCTGCATTCAGTGAGGACCAGGAATTCTGTGGGTGTTTGGAGGACCCGAGTAACAGTGCTGAGTGGCCAAATACACACATGGGAAATGGCTGGGCCGGTGGAATGGAGCTCCTGCTCTCGCTCCAGGAAGCCCAGAATCTGCCCTGAGCTAGGCAGGCAGCCAGGAAACCTCGTGGCTGCCTTTAGTAAGCACCCTGGCTGCCCGAGCCCTCTTCCAGGCAGCAGCTCTCCCTCCTCCAGGTACCTGCCTCCAGTCTCTGTCCGGTGTGACACCTGTGGGGCTGATGGCCCTCACCACCAGTTTAGGACTAGTCACCCTGCCCTTCTCCCTTGGTTGGTTGCCTTCGTTTATCCCACTGAAGAATCCCACAGACTTTTATAGGGACTCTGGGTGAAACCAACCAGCTTTCTTCTCTCAGGGTGACAAGTAGTAGAGACTTCTATTAGTCCAGTAATTTTCAGCTGGGCTACACACATGTGTAATCCTAGCACTTGAAAGCCTGAGGCAGGAGGATTGCAGCACTTTCAGCTACTTAATGAGTTCAGGACCAGCGTAAATTCTACAAGGCAAGCCCCAAAAAGGTAGTAGTTTTTATTTTGTGACCTTAATAATTGTTCAGTACTTTCTGCTTCTGTGTTTGCAAAACAAACAAAAGGAGGCTGAGCTGATTAATTAATATTCTTGATGCATGCATAGAAATTATCAGGGTGAGCCCCAGATACACAAGACGGGGTTCACAAAACCATCCCTTACTTTGCAACTGTGAATTTGTACTGTAGCATAACAGTAGTGTGTTTCAGTACCGTTCCCTGAGAGATACAGGAAACAATCTATGTGTTTACCCCCATGATGTGACAAACTGGCAAGGTGTGTACATGTATGCAAAAGCAAAAATGGGGTCTTCACCACTTTATGCCCCGTATAACTTTGTTTTACATATGTTTACCTGAGCATTGCACAGAGTCCAGCAGGGTTCTCCTCCACTCCACTCCAGTCCACTCCACTCCACTCCACTCTGGGATTTGTTAAATAAAAGTTTTCTCTTGCTTTTTCTGGTAGAAGTAGCCCATTTCAGTACAATGGCACATGAGAAACCAGATTTGCAGTATAGAAGAGGTCAAAAGTAAATCATCAGACCACTCAGCCATGGATGATGAAGGAGCTCCATTAGGGTTTCATAACAGAAGAGAGGTGTGGCGTGGATGGGTGGATGATGATGGTAATGATTGTGGTGATGGTGACTTTGATATTGGCCATGTGAGCCACAGTTCCTGTGATGGTGAAATGGAGCAAGAATCAACTGATACAGACACAGGAAATGCAGGCCTCTTTGATACAGGTGACAAAGAAAACAGCAATATGAGTACATATCTGACTAGGTGAAAGGTTGAGAAATGGCTGGGCAACCGAATGGAAACATCCAATGTTAGAACCAGATCTGAAAATATAACGATGGTCTTGGCTGGGGTGAAATGTATTAGACAGAATGCCAACACTGACATTCAGTGCTGGAAATTATAACAGACGAAATGCTACAAGATGCTATGAAATAGACAAAAGCTCAAATGCAAGTAAAATGTACTGTATGAACCAACAGCCATATTAAAAATGTTTTTATTTATTTAAAAAAAATTTTTAAAATGTATTTATTATGACACCCCACTAGCTGACCTGAAGACATCTATAGGTCTGCTGTACTTAGCAGGGATTTCTCATGGTAATCACAGAAATGTAAAAGACTTATTGAAAAGTGATGGGTCAAAATATGGCATAAAAATGTACGCTCTTGTATATGTGAAGATTTATGCTTTCATTTTAGACATTTACCCTGGAACTCAGCCATCAGGTCCTTATTCGTATGGTCTTAAATCAAATGATGTTGTGAACAGACTTGGTGCTCCCATCTCCCAAACAAATCAGACTGTGACATTCCACAGTCGGTTTCCAGTTGATGTTACATTTGCTAACAGGGCACAAGTTGACCATTGTAGAAACTACACAGAAACAAAGCAGAAATTCCAAATGAAATGTTGCAATTTCAAATCAGAATTACATAGTACAATCTTTGGGTTTCAGAATGCTATAACATTGACCTTGTATATGACAAAGAAAGACAAATTGGAACTGCTGATGTCAACATTACATGCTGATGGAAATATTGATCGGGAAATCTAGGCAGATGGGAAACCTGAGACAGAAACTTTCAACAACAAAACCAGATGTGCAGTAGATGTGATCAGTTATGCAGAACTGTGATGTCACTTGAAACACACAGCATTGGCCAGTAGCTGTGCTTTACTGCATCGTAAATGTGTGGCACAAATAGTTTGATAATTTACAAAGAAAATAGCAAGTGCAAAATATTTTGGAGAAATCTTAGAAGAGTGGGACCAGAGATCATTTACAGCAGATGAAAAACAAAATGTTTCTGCCCTGGGAACTACACAAAAATACTGTGGAGCACACTGGTGAGCTGACAGGTGAGCAGGCAGGCACAGCATCACAGAGGCCTAGTACAACAACAGGAAAACAAAAGAGATGCCAGCTGTGCCCCACAAGAAAGTACAGGAGAATAAAATATATGTGCCCTCAGTGTGAGCCGTGCTTGTGTGTGGAGCATGCAGTTTTCATGTGTGGAGACTGCCTTGGGTGAGACAGTTGAGCGGTACTTTTGTTTGCATTTGTATTGTAGCTCACATGGGTCTTTACTTTTGGTGTTATCTTTCAGATCCTGTAAGCAGGTAAACAGCTGATGTGAAAATGCTGATGTCATTCTAAGCATCATTACATGTTGGATACTGTCTTTTACTGGTACCTTATTTCCCTGCCAAGCAGGTTGTGCAGTGTAGCAGGAAGTACCTAACAAAACAGGAAGAGAAGAAAGGGGTGAGGCTGCCACATAGAAGAGGGAAGCTAAGCGTGTGTGTTGTCGGGGTAAACAAGATGTGTGCGTGGAACGTGCAGTTGTCATGTGTGAAGAGTTCCTTGGGTGACACAGTTGAAGCAAAGCTTATTTCTGTGGTAGAGGTCCATTGGTATTTTCATTGTAGTTTGCATAGGAATTGATTTCTGATGTTATCTTTTAGGTTTTGTAAGCAAATACATAGCTGATGTGAAAATGTCGATATTCCAAGTGTACTGTGTATTAGGAATTTAATGCTCTCTTTTATAGATATTTTATGTTTTTGTTAACTGCACACTGTAGAGTATCATAAGAGCCTCCAGACAGAATAGCAGGTTTGTTCTCCAGGCCAGCCTGTGGCGGCTCACACCTGTAGTCTCAGCACTTGGGAGCGTGGGGCAGGAGGTCAGTGTGAGTTCAAGGCCAGCCTAAACTGCACAGTGGGACCCCATCCTACAAAAATGCCAGGAATTGGCAAGCATGAGGACCTGAGTTTGATTTCCATTTCCAAACATAAACACACAAAAAACCATGAAAGCAGAATGCATATGCTATCAGTGTAAGCAGTGTGTGTGTGTGTGTGTGTGTGTGTGTGTGTGTGTGTGTGTGTGTGTGTGAATGTGCTGCTCTCAAGTGTGCAGACTGTCATAGGTGGGATCATTGAAGTAAAGAGGGTTTTTTGGTAAAGTGTTATTGGTATTTTCATTGTAGTTTATATAAGAATTTATTTCTGTTCTTTTTTAGACAGTACAGCAAAAAAATGTTGAAAATTTTTGATGCTTTTGTATAAATACTATTAAAAATTCAGTACTTTTTTGTGATATTTTTTTCTTGTTAAATACTCATTGTTTAACATAATAAAACTCATAAAATTAATACTTCATCAATAGACACATTCTAAAAAATAAATGCGGATCTGACAACCCTTTTTCTGAGCTTGATGACAGAATTAGTCTGATGCCCCAAGCCTGCTTACTTTGACTCCAGCCTGCTTACTTTGCTTGCCTGCCTTTGTTTCTTTCTTTCTGTGTGTCTGTCTGTCTGTCTCTGTCTCCGTCTCTGTATTTGGAGAACTGAACTCAGGGCCTGTACATGCTCTACTCCTGAGCTACCCCTTTTTAAAAATTGCATTTTATTTTTGTTTTATTGGTACTGGGGTTGAACCCAGGACTTTGTACGTACTGAGCCTTCATGCGACCTCTGAACTGTGTTTGCAGCTCTGCAGTTTGGTGTTCTGACCCCTGAGCCCTTTCTTGCCTTTTGCTGCCTTTGACTCCAGCGCCGGAGTGGAAGCCAGGGCCTCACACATGTGGGCAGGTACTCTACTACCAAGCTACACTTCCATGCCACATGGACTTTTTGACATGCATAGGATAGGACACACAGTGCTTGTCTCTCTGCGTCTCAGTTGTTTCATTTTGTGAACTAACCCCTCATTTCACCCACTTTACTGCAGAAAGACTGAGTATCATTCTTTTTATGTCAGCATCCATCCATCCATCCATGGGTACCTTGGTTATGCCACGCCCGAGCTCTGCGGACCATGCCAAGGAGACGTGGGTGTCAGACATTTATTTTGTGTGCTGATTTCATCTCCTTTGGATAAACACCAAGGAGTGGGGAAACTGGATCTTCGGTAGTTCTGTTTTTAGGTTTCTGAGGCTCTTCCAATCTGCCCTGCATAGTGATTGTATTACTTTACATGTCCAGCAGTGTGTTAGAGTTATATGGAAAAAGTTTTTAAGTTAGTCTCCAGTTGATTTTTGTCCAGTCAGTTGTTTATAATGGATTAAGTTGGCTTATGTATCATGGAAATTTCATCTTTTTTTTTTTATTGGTACCAGGGATCAAACTCACGACTGTGCACTTGCAAAGCAGGCACTTATGCCGCTGAGCTAAATCCCCAGCCCTGAAAATTTCATCTTTTTTTTTTTTTTTTTTTTTTTTTTGAGGCAGGGTCTCTCCATGCAATTCAGGCTGGCCTTGAGCTTGCTTTGTAACCCTGGCTGGTCTCAAAGTCACAATGATCCTCCTGCCTCAGCCTCTTGAGGCTGGGATTATAGGCATGAGCCACCATGCCTGGCACAAATTTCATCTTTTGTATAATTGTCCAATACATTTGGTGTGTGTCTGTGGTTGTAGGGATTGAGCCCAGGTCCACTGAGCTATATCTCTACCTCACTCCCTTTATAATTTTTTCTTTTTAATTTTGAGACAGAATCTTGCTAACTTGCCCAGTCTGGGCTTGAACTCAGTCCTCTTGCCTCAGTGTCCCAGAGTTCTGGGATCACAGGATGTGCCACCATGGCCAGCTAAATACATTCTTTATAATCATTTTGTAGAAGGTCTTTTCTTTGTACATTAGCCATTTTTCTTACCTGCTTTTTGAAGCCTCATGGCCTGCTAGAGGGAACTGACCCACTTCCTCCTGCATATCACTGAGTAGTTCTGTGGCCTCAAAAAATTACCCAAGTTTGCCTGCTCAGCATTGTTAAAAAGAAGGAAAGAGATCATAAAGCTTGCTAAGGAAATGGGTTGTATTTTTGTGGTTGAAAGAACAGAGTGGCTGTGGTAGTGGTCACAGTAATAATGCCACAAATTCCCATAGCCCCCCCACTTTGCCATAGCCCAGGACAGCTCCCCCACCTGCACCTCTTGGCCTCACCTGCTAGGCCCTTCCTGTCACATACCGTGGGTGAGGTGAGGACAGGCTGGTCGCCCCAAGGAGCCACAGCCTCTGCCATGCCAGCTGACCCTAGAAACCACTCCATGGGCTGGATACCCTGTGGAATGTGGTGAGACTCAGCCACAGGGCTATGGCATGAGGCTTGTTGGATCTGCATTTGACAGTGGCCTCAGGATGACTGCAGGACAAAGGGACTTGGAAGTAAAAGATCTTAGTCTAACTCAGTTCTCTGGCTTTGGCATGGAGACATTTTCTCTAACTGAGTTTCCTGTCTAAAATGAAGGTATAGCTAGCTCACGCACCTGGGTGTGTTAGAGTGAGCTGCTTTTATTTGGCTGTAAAACCAATAGTAATGATATCTCTTATCCTACTTGAAAGCAAATATTAACATTTGACATATCTACAAGTGATTATGAGACAGGTATGAAAATTTTACTTTGAACAGCAAGTAGTATTTAGACAAACTTTTGATAAGTTGGGCGTTTTTTTGTTGTTTGTTTGGTACTGGGGATCAAACTCATGACCTTGTGCTTGCCAGGCAGGTGGTTGTGCTGTTGAGCTAAATCCTCATCTCTTTAAGTTGGGGTTTTTTGTTCTTTCCATAAATAGTATTTTTGCAGCAGCAAAAAATCATTTCTTTGAAACCTTTCTCCACAACTCTGACCTATACATTCTGTGATGTTATAATGGGTTTAAGTTATGAAACCTTGGAATACCATAACTAGGTTAGTGTGATTCTCCAACTTGGAGAAACTGTCTGATTAATCCAATGCGGTAGTAGAATTCTTTAGATTTGAATTCATCTGTAAAGCTAAAGGCATGAACGTGAAATAGTTAATACAACCCCAAAAAGGTAAATAGTGAATCTTCATTTCTAATATTAATCTAACTTTCTATATTGAGTCACTATGTTTTATGTAGGTGATACTGAAAATGGTAACCTACTTAATTTAAATATTAAATTTTAAATTATGGGATTTACATCAAAGCTGACATTTCACATGTGCACTTTTTAAAGGCCTAATAAAGGTTAGATTCTAGATGATATAATGGTTTATTGACACCCATAATGCAAGCAATAGATAATTCAGAGGTGAGAATTTTATTTCTATATGGGAATTACATTTAAATTTAAAGATGTTTGTTTAACTCACAGTTTGTGGAGGTTTCAGCCTGTAATCAGCTGACTCTAAGGCAGAGTGGCACGTGGCAGATGGCAGCAATTCATGGCAGGGGAAGGCAGCAAAAACAACAAGAGCAAAGGGGAGGAGCATGGACAGAAGGCTCTTTCTGTTCCTTAGAGTGTATGTGGGCCACACCCATAGTCCCAGCACCGGACCATGAGTCTCTCACAAACTCTAGAATCCCGCCTGCGTGACTGCATGAGGCTTTGGGGGGACGGGGGACATCCAGACTCAAGCCGTAACAGACTGTTTCTATAAAACTGACATTGCTGGGGCTGGGGATTTAGCTCAGTGGCATAAGCACCTGCCTTGCAAGCAGGCGGTCATGAGTTCGATCCCTGGTATCGATAAAAACGAAAAAGACAAAAAAAAACACAACTGACATTGCTGCTGGTTTTGTTTCTTAAAGGAATAGAATATACTTCCACAAATTTCCATACTATGTGTTAAGAAAATTAAGTAGGCCCCTCCACATTGTCATGAAATTGCTGAGGCAGTGTTTGGCACCTCCGTGAAGCCAGTGAACATGAGGAGGCAGGCATATGTTACTGGCGTTGTAAACAGTAACTCAGTGCAGCCTGAAGCCTGAATGTATCCAGAAAGGACATCATATTATAGACAAATAAACATGGAAAACTAAACCAAACAACCAGTTATTCTACCTTTAACTTTTTGTAAACCACATTTTGTTGATAACTTCAGTTTTATCAAAAGGCTGATACATTTCAATATTTTGAAAACATCAGTATTAATTTTGAGCTGGCAGACATAAGCTAAACAACTCCCATTATGTTTGGTACTAAGAGATATATCTTTCAATGAAATTATTGAACCAAAAAAAGAAAAGAAAGACAAATTCTCTGAAAACTTGCAGGTATGTTTCTGGGGGATTTTTGGTTTTGTTTTGTTTTTTATTTTTTTACTTTATTTTATTTTTTTTTTAGGCTAGTCAAGTGAAGCAGTGGGAGTGGAGAAGGAACAAAGAAATCTGTAACTGGTTGTGATCAATTAGTTGTAAACACCACTGCACTCGGACCAGCCTGTTTTTTGTCTTTTTGAGACAGGGTCTCATTATGCAGTTCAGGCTGGCCTTGGGTTCATTTTGTAGCCCAGGGTAGGCTCAAAACTTGCAAGATCCTCCTGCCTCAGCCTCCTAAGTGCTGGGATTATAGGAGTGCCCCACTGTACTCAACCTCAGATATGTTTTCATTAGCTGAGTTTATTCTGATAGGAAAGTTACCAACTAATGTAGGTATTTATTTAAAATAAAGGGTCAGTCAGAGCACACAGGAGGACCGGCCATTGCCAAGGGCCCTGGCAGGGCTCTGGCCTGAGGCAGACACCAGAGCTTGCTCATGGGTACCAGGCACTGCTGTGGTTCTGCATTAAATGGGAAAACAAGCACCCAGGCTGAGCACCCGAGGTCGGCTGGACAGGGTGACAGGGACCTCAGCTGCTCAGGCCCACCTGTTCCTTCCTTCCCTCACGGGTGTCCTGCAGGCTAAGCCACCTGCCGAGTGTGTGTCCTGTTCCAGGCCGCCAAGTGCCACAGCTGAGTGAAAGGGAGCAGGAGGCTCCAGCGCTGCCGGTGCCATGGATGCCAAGGTCAGTGCCGGGTTCTGTGGGGGGTGGGGGCCTCGTTCCTCGAATATTTTTATGCCCCTGCAATGCCATATGTGACAGCTCTGCAGTGAGGAGTCCCAGGGGCACACAGAATCCCAACGTTTGAGTCCCTGAGATTGTTGCACCCCCCACCAGGAAGCATCTCTGAGTAGGGTGTGGGGTCACCTTCCAGACGGTGGGGCTGTGGCTTTTAGCCTGGAAGCTGGATGGGGGACTGTGGGTTTGGGGGAAACGCTGGTCACGTGAGCAGCCAGGACTTCAGGGGCTCCCACTCATTCCTGTCACCGACAGCAGCATCTGTCTGAGGACCTCTGTCCCTCTCCGCCTGCTCTCCTCTCCGTGCCCTCGTTCTTGGCCCAGTGAGGCAGAAGCACCACTGTCACATTCTCCCCGCAGAGCAGCCAGGGACTGAGCACCCAGAGACGCCTTCCTCTCACGTAGCCTGGCCCTTGGGTGGGAGGGAGGGCATGATGGCTCCCCTCACCTGCCAAGCGAGAAAGCAGACAGCCCAAAGTTAGGCAGCCGACCCCGGTTCCGCAGAGCTGGCTCCTCCCTGCGCGTGAGCGGTTTTCTCGGGCGTTTCTCAGAACTGTCATCCTAGATGCACAGCATTCAGGAGGCAAGGCTGAAGCATCACAAGTTCAGGGGCAGCCTGGGCTACATAGCAAGATCCTGTCTGAAAACAAAGCAAAACAAAAAAGAAATTTTCATCCTATTGTAGATATGTATGACTTTCTTGTATTTTTTTCTACAATTAAAAAAATTTTTTTTGTACAATGCATATAACAAGAGTCACTGCTTTGAGCTGAGGGTGCAGCTCAGGGTAGCTTACTTGCCTAGCAGGCACGAGACCCTGGGTTCCACACCCAACACCCCCGAAAAAAGAAAAGGCTAGGGAAGATTATCACTCAAGTGTTTTTAAATGCACAGCTCAAGGACTGTAAATGCATGTGTGGTGGCAAAGGCATAGCCCGTCACCCTGTCCCTCAGTGCTTTTTCATCTGCCTTGACCGAAACCGTCCCATTAAATCCCGAGCGCTCACCCACTCCTGCAGGGTGACACCACTGTATTGCCTGAATCTGTGGATTTGCCATGCTAGGACCGCCCAAGTCGGTATTTATTAATTTATTACTGGCTTATTTCTCTCAGCATAATGACCTCAAGGTTCATCCATGCTATAGCCTTCTTTGTCTGTCTGTCTGACTGTCTGTCTGTCTCTGTTGAAAAATAGAGTGAGTAACCAGGCATGGTGGCACATGGCTGTAATCCCAGCACTCGGGAAGCTGAGGCAGGATTGCTGTGAGTCGAAGCCAATCTGGGCTCATGCTGAGCTCAAGGCCAACCTGAACTGCTTAGTGAGACCCTGTCTCCCAAAGACCAAAAAAAGGAAGAAAAGAAAAGGGAAAATAGTAGGCGAGATTGGTTTCATTTTTGCTGTTGTTGGATGCTGTCCTTGGCAGGTTGGAGCGCCAAGATTATTTACTCCAGTTTATCAAACATTCTGGGTGTTTTCCGTCTTTCTCTCTACATTGAAATTGATTTTATATTGAGAATTATTGTTGCCTCTTATATATCAGTTTTGTAATATGTCCAGCAGGATTTCCTGTCTTGTTTCAACATATTTTCCCCTATCATCTAACACGACAGGTAACTATCGGATCTTTCTTCTTCTGAGGCATTCACTAATGAGGACGTAGGTCCATATCCGGCCGCTCACAAGCTCAGTTTGCTCTCGGATTGCAATGCTCACACAGCCCATGCTGCCCACACAGGTTTCTGGCCTCTGCTTTCCCGTTGACTTCTGCTGATCCCTACTGGATCCTCGTCCTCCTCTCTCATTGGCACCCTTCCCTCTTAAGCCACTTCTCTTTTTATTTTATGTGGAAAAGACCAAGATCACTGAACTTGTGTTGAATACCTGCACCCAGCCCGGGGTGGCACCCTGACTCTGGAAAGCCGGCTGCCAGCCCTGCACTGGAGGGAAGTCCCTGGACAGATGGAGGGCTGCTGAGCAAAGTGCCGCCCACTGGGTGACGAAACAGCAGAGGTTTATGGGCCGGGGATGCGGCTCCGTGGCACTGTGCCTGGCTGGCAAGCACAAGGTCCTGACTTCGATGCCCTCACAGTTGGAGTCTGCAGTGTGAGGTGAGGGCCTCAGTGCGAGGCCCTGCAGGTCTCTTCCCTGCTTCTCTCGTTCGGCCCCGGTGCTTCCTGGCCTGGGAATGCGGCACCCTTGTGCCAGCCTCTGTCTTCACATGGCATCGCCCAGGTGTCCTGTGTGAATCTCCCTCTCCTTTTACAAAGATGCCAGTTGTAGGATTTAGGGCTCATTCTAAATGAAGTTAAGGATTTTAACTTGCCTATATCTGCAAAGGTCCTGTTTGCAACGCAGATTCCATTTATGGGTATCTGGGGTTAGGACTTGGGTGGTTCTTTTTTGGGGTACACAACTCAACCCATAGCACTGGCGCAGTCCTGCTTTCTTCCCGTCTAAGCAGGCTGTCTCCGTGGGAAGAAACGAAGTATGTTTGAGTTGCTTGGCTGAACCACATGCAGGAATCCTAATGATTGGATACAGTAGAACTTTCACATAGCTTTTCCTGTTTGGGTGACTTGAGGAAGTAAAGGCTGAAGAGTAGCACACGTACCAGTTTATTCTTTTTACTTGTTCATATGTGTTTCTGTTCACAGATGCTAGGCAGAGCTCCTGCCACCAAGCTATAGCCCAGCATTTTGTTTAATTGAAACCGTGTGCCCTTTAAACATCCCATGAAAGGTTTTTAGTCTTCCTAGTGTAAATTGGTAGAGACTTAGATGACAAAAGACTTTTCTCCTGCACGTTCACCTTCTGGCTCTATCTTCCGGCCCATGTGGCTGCTTGGCATTTGTCTGAGTGGATCTTGGAAGCCGGGCTCTTCCAGGCCCTCCATTTCCTCTCATTCTAGAGCTAGGATTGGTCTGGGTGCTTGGAGCTGCTGGTGCTCCCAGTACTCACCTTCCTTTGCTGATCAGCCATCTCCAGATATGGTCAGGGCACAGAAATGCTCCGGTGGCTCCCAGAGCTTCTGCCCTGAACTGAGCTGTGGCTGCAGGTCCTGTGCATGGAGATGAAGATGGAGAAGGGGAGGAAGATGGAGAGCAGGGTCAGAGCAGGAGCCACCCGAAGGGCTCCCTGTGAGATTTTGCTTATAGGCAAACCCACCGGAAGTAGACCAAGCTAGCCCCAGGCAGGTGTTGACCTGTCCTCAATGTTCCCAGGACTTGGTGAGACCTATCTGCTGCCCAGTGCTATCCTAGGCCTGTGTGTCAGTTATTTTTCTCTCATTGCTTGGACAAAATACACAATACCCAAAATTAAGGAAGAAAAAGTTTGTGTAGCTCATACTCTGTGGAGGTCAGTCTGTAATCAGCTGGCTCCAAGGCAGGGTGGCTCATGGCAGAAGGCAACAGTTCATGGCAGGGAAGACAGCAAAAGCAGTAAGAGTAGACAGGAGAGGGACTGGGGATTTAGCTCAGCGGCATAAGCGCCTGCCTTGCAAGCAGGCAGTCGTGAGTTCATCCCTGGTACCGATAAAAAGGAAAAAGACAAAAAAAAAAAAAAAAACCCATCATGAAAGAGTAGACAGAAGTGTGGAGAGAAGACTCTTTCTGTCCCTTACATTGTATACAGGTTACCCCTAGGGTGGGTGTAGCACTCACACACATAACCCCAGCATTGGAATATGAATCAATCACAGATTCTAGCAGCCTGCCCCCATGATGAGTGAGGCTTTGGGGGAACCTCTGGACACAAACCATAACAGCCTGTCACAAAGGAGATGATGGAAAAGAAAGCCATAGCCAGTAAGGGTGGCTTGAGCTGACAGGGGGTCTCAGCAAACAGCATGGACATTCAAGGGTGCGTGTGAGGGGTGATATTTGCCTGACTTTCCCTTCTCAATCTGTGGATTCTCACCCCAGCCACGTTTTTGAGAGGTCAAGCAAATTGTTTCCTGCACAGCTGGAGCTTTAGGTGGCTCTCTACTTTAAACTAGTGCTGCAATCCATCTCTGCCCAAGGAGCCCTCCTGGTATCACAGGATTGTCCTGTTCATTCAGACCAGGGAGGATCTTCAGCCAGCTCAGCTACAGGGAGGGCCACATGCTGGCCCAATCCCAGCAGCCTCCCTGACTCGCCTTTCATCCTAGGTCGGCAATGGAGCAGGCACCCGGGGTGAGCTCGTGACAGACCTGCTGGTGTTTGGCTTCCTCTGCAGCCGCGACAACAGTAATTTCCACTCTGAGCTGAAGGCACTGGGCCAGGAGCTGCCTGGTAGGCCGGAGGTAGACCATGACGATGAGCTGCAGACGGACGGCAACCGGCTCAGCCACTTTCACGGGGGAAGAAGAGAGGCAGGTAGACACCATGCGTGCCTCCTTCTCCCCAGATCTGGTGACCCTTGCTGTCCAGTAATGTATAGGGCCCACAGCCTGGTTGGGACCTCGGGGCTCCACTGCACCCTGAGGTTTCAGTCACCTGTATGCCGTCGTGTCCTGGGGTTGTTCGGTCCATACTTGAGTGCTTCCTGTGGTACTGCCCTCATTATCTCCCTGTTTGGGGGTAGCTTAGAAAGTTCTTCCCTCCCAAGCCACACTCGCTTCAAGGGGAAGCCCTGATTGTCTGTGCTAATGCAGAATAGCATTTTTACCAAATTTCTCAACAGTCTGTACAATCAAAGGTTAGAAGCCATTGATTTGGCTTATGGAACTCAAAGGAGTCTCCTGGGGTTAAATAATTCAGAGACCTAGGAAGCTTTAAAAGGTAGTGGGTGCCGGGTCCCTGTCAGGCATTCTGATTTGGTAAATTGGGATGTTGCTGGTGAGACCGCACCAGTAACATCTAATGCAGTGCAGGCCGAGGTGAACTGGTGTGTGAGCTCCAGGTTTTTCATGGTGATGTTTGTATCCTGTATAGAATCTGAGTTTTTAATTTTTATACATGCTCTGATTTGTGAGTACCTGAAAGACAACTAGACACGAAGTATGCTGCACCTCATTTCTAGTTGGGGACACCAGATGACTGGCTCCAAATCCAGCTGGGGTTTGGATTCCTCCAAAGCTATACCGAGTGTAATTCCCGCCCAGTGGTGGAGGTCTAGGCTGAGGCTGGACCTCTGCTGGGGTTGGCTTCTTGCTGTGGGCCTGAGGTGAGGCAGGGCATGGTGGGAGGAGGTGCCAGGGGAGAGCTGCTCGCTGTGAGGCAGCCCGGGAGCAGAGAGATGGAGGAAGGGGTCAGGGACAAGGTCTAATCTCCAAGGCCTCTGGGTCACGACCTGGCTCTTCAGTGAGGCTCCACTTCCTCAGTTTTTACTGCCACCCAATAACGCTGGCAAATTAGGAGTCCATGCCGAAGTTAGGGCCCTCCCGGTCCTGTCACCTTCCAGCGCCTGCCAGCGCTTGGAGGAGGCCGGCACTGGGAGAGGGCAGTGCACAGCTGGGTGTGGAGAGGCTGTGCCAAGGCAGTTGGAGTTAAGTCAGAGGGAGCTGGCGCTCGGGGCAGAGCGCAAGCCATGGCGTGAGGAACATTTGTGTAATGCACAGGCCTGGGCCCTCTTCTGGGCACCTGAGTTAGCATATTGTCCCAGAAGACTCCATAGGAGATTCTGACCCTGGGTAGAGTCACTGCCCTGAAAAGCCACAGTGACTCTGGGGACATGGTCCCAGGCTTTCGGTCCACTGGCCAGCCCTGCCTCCTGCCCTGAAGGCTGCTGCCCACATCTGGTGCTCAGAGGCAACACTGCCCTCTGGTGGCCATGGCGGAGACCAAAGGCTGGTCTGGCCTTTGCCCTCTGAATGGGGATGTATGTGCTTGGCTCTCCCCGCTAACCACAGTGCACCAAAGCCTCTGTGCCTTCGAATTCAGCCAGCTGGTCCTAGACTGAGAAAAGCACCCGGTCTCCTTTGGGGAAGGACTCAGCGCAGGCCTGGGCAGCAGAAGCTTTGTCATCAGGAGTAGTAACTGTTTCTCCTGGTGTTCTCGACACTGGTCTTGGTCAAAAGCGTGGCCTGACCCAAGTAGCATTGGTACTGTGGGGCTGTACCTCAACCTCCCCAGCCTTCTGGTGGGGATTTGAATGTAGACTAGGTACCTGCTGAGGCTTGGCAGCTCAGCCTGCCTGGGCACAGATGAATCAGATGCCATGCTGTTGTCCCTGAGCTGGTGGCCAAAGGGAAGAGGGGGTGTGGACATGAGTCACTGGAATAGGTGGGAAGGTTTTGGCAGATGGGGGATACAGGGTGGCTCCAGAGGAGCTGGGAGGAGACGGGGGTGCTGGCTGCTCTGTCGGGAATCAGGAAAAACTTCCTGGCCCCAGTGCAGTTGAGCTGGGCCTTGCAGGATGATACAGTATTGTTCTCTGGAGGAGAGAAAGCTGTCAAGCCAGTAAACCTGGAGAGAGGAAGGCCCAGGTCCTGGGAAAGGGGCCGGGGACAGTTGGCTGTGGCAGGAATGTGTGAAGGCAGTTGGGGAAGTTAAGTCAGAGGGAACTGGAGCTTAGGGCATGGCTTGTCATTTAGGCAGAAGTGAGCCTTGGGAAGGTTCAAGGTAGAGAAGTGTTGGAGTATCCAGTGTCCCAGTGCCCAGCCACCTGCCTGGCCTATGAAAGAGCTGGGTTTCATCTCCAGCACTGCACACACGCACACACGAACACGCACACACGAACACACACACACACACACACACACACACACACACACACACACAAATCTCCAGTGAGCTGCCAGGCACAGCGGTGTATGCCTGCGATCCCAGTGTGTGGGAAGCTGAGGTAGGAGGATCACCATGAGTTTGAAGCCAACCCAAACTACACAGAGACTCTGTCTTGAAAAACTAAACAAAAAAGCTGCAGGGGAACCAAATGAGACACTCTGAGCACAGGATTTAAGGAGACCCTCAGGCTGGAGATTTAGCTCAGCAGCATAAGCACCTGCCTTGCAAGTATGTGGTTGTGAGTTCAATCCCCAGCACCCCCCCCCAAAAAAAAAGTTTTATACTAAGGAGACCCTCAATCCCTAGCCTAAACAATCACTTAACTCTTCTTCTGCCTCCTAAAGTTACCCAGGCTGGCCTCGAACTTGTGATCCTCAGCCTCCCAAGTACCTGGGATTACAAGTGTGCACAACTGTATCTTGGCTCCATGCATTAAGTGCTGGGTATTTGACAGTTGGCCAAAGAGATTAAAGCTTTTAGAAGGTTATATTTAGGAGGGGTGTCAGACAGCAGAAATAGGTAAAATATGGAGCAAGTGTCAAGGTAAAAAAAAAAAAAGACAGAAAAGAAGGAAAGGACCAGGACAGAGTAAAGGAGGTGAGGCAGGACAGTGTTGGCCCTCAGGCAGAGGGGCAGCTGTGAGGAGGACAGACAGAGTCTGTGGGCACCACAGTGAGGCGGAAGCTCAGGGCTCATGGGTGCTGGAGGAGATGGGGGTCTTACTGAGGAGAGGGGCTGGGGAGCAAGGTGCTCTCCACCACTGTTCCATAGCGGGGGACACACACACACACACACACACACACACACACACACACACACACACTGTGAAGCCTCACAGCCAGGGAGTTGGGGAGATGGGACTCAGGCGGGTGACTGCAGCAGCTCTTTCCTAAAGGCCACTGCCACACTTGTCCCGGGCTCCCAGGCAGCAGCGACACAGGCTGTCTTCATGCCCCAGCTGCTGAGTCTGTGATCCGGGAGATGCAGGCCTCTCCTGAGCCATGGAGAGCACAGCTGGGCCAGGCCAGGCCGGACCAGGACAGGCTGGGGCTGGGCCGGGGCAGACCGTAGCCAGAGCAGGCTGTGGTGGCAGGAGCTGGTCTGCTCCTGGTGGAAGTCACGCCTGATCCTGCAGCGGGCTGGGTGGGATAAGGGGGTCAAGCAGTGCCATTTCCTGAATCTTCTTGGTCTTTGCTGCCCTCTGTCTGAACATTCAGATTCTGAAAGTCAAGAAGAGCTAATTCAGCACATCGCCTCACAGCTGGCCTTAATCGGGGATGAGATGGAGCACAAGATCCAGGCCTCCGTGGTGCACCAGCTGAGCACGCAGCTCAGGGACTCCAGTCTGACACCTGAGGTCAGTGACTCTGACAGGCGGTTTGTGCTGGGTGCCTCTGGGTGCCTGGGGAGGGCAGGGACTTTCTGATCCATCAGCACAGCCAGCAAAGCCTGTCCCCCGTCTGTCATCAGCACACCAGCAGCCTGTGAGGTGACCCCTTCCAGACTGTCCCTCTGGAGCTTTAATGAGAGGACTGGGAATGTGGGGTGGAGCTGGTTGAGATTTAACAACCTTGCATCAAAAGCAAGGGTCCAGAGCTTAAGGATAAAACTCCCAGAAAGTCTAGCAAGTAAGTCAGTCTTCTGTTCCTCCAGTCAGAGATGGTGCAGAGAACTTTTAAGTCACCCATGTGTGACTGAAAGAGTGACAAGCTAGCCTGCCACCCTTCCTGGCTTCATGGGTCACAGATAGCAGCCACACTGCCGCCTGCCCAGTGTGGTGGACAGAGACCAGGGTGTGGCACAGAACCCTCAGAGCAGCACAGTGAGACTCTTCCTGCAGGGCTGATTCTGCGAGAGTCCCTGAGCTTGAAGGTCCTTTCGGTTCCAGTGCTCTGAGAGCGCCTGTCCTGTTCAGGGAATCAGGGGAGCCTTTTAACTGGGTGGGCCTGAGACACCTGGAAGGTTACCAATTCTTTAGGCGCCTGAGGGCAGGGAGTGGCGGAGGGTCCTGGTGGGCTTGGTGAGTGGGTGTCCTTCTCCAAGGACGAGGTTGGTAACTGCCTGTGCTCACCCCATGCAGGGCAGGAGGCACTGCCTGGCCGCCACCCTGGGGGAGGTGATGCAGACCTGCCCCGCAGACGTGGAGCAGGAGAAGGCCGTGCTGATCATGACCATGCTGCTGGCCAGAAAGGTGGCTGATCACACACCACGCTTGTTCCGTGTGGTCTATGACACAGTTGTGGACTTTATTAACCAGAACCTGCTCACCTACGTGAGGGATTTAGTCAGAAATGTAAGTACCAGGGACGCCACCCCTTTGCCATGTCATGAGGTCCCCTCCGGCCCACACGGTTCCCTGTGCGGTGCAGAGACCCACCAGTGCTCTCTGCTGCAGCCTGTCTTAGCCCTCTGCCTGTCAGACCACAAGGAAGGCTGTTGGGAAGACACAGCCTCCTGTACATTCATGAGGACACAACAGAAAGTGGCTGAAGGCCCTGGGCTGAGCTTCCCATGCATCACAAATGTAACTGCAATTCAAATTCTTAAAACACATCTTTACTAGCTGGGCATGGCAATGCCAGCATCGGGGAGGCTGAAGCAGGAGGATCACTATGAGTTTGAAGCTCGCCTGGGCTACAAAGTGAGCTGAAGGCCAGTATGACCTGCATAGTGAACCCTGTCTCAAAAAGAAAAAAAGAAGCTGCCTCAGGTATCTCACACACAAGTGTAATTTAAAAACCTCTTCGCTGCCAGTTGTGGTAATGTGTACCTGAAGCCTAACCCAGGAGGCGGGCAGATCAGGAGTTTGAGCCCCCCGGGGGGGCAGGTTAAGTGACTCAGTGTGACCCTGTCTCAAAACATAAAGAAGGCTGAGGCTGTAGCTGCAGGGTTCAGTCCCTTGAACTGGGGAAGAAAAGTTCTTAACAAGATCCTGAGGAGAGACTGAAGGAATAATCAGAAAAGCAGGGGCCTTAACAGCTCTCTCAGGTGATCAGGGGGCACATCTGTCCCTGGATACGGAGTCTCAGTCTTTGTGACGCCCCCCAGGATGAGCCCCGGTGGCCACAGTGTCACGGCCCCATGGGAAGGCAGGTGGATGTACCTAATCTGCCAGTTCTGAGTATTGGTGGATGAGATTTTTATAAGTCAGAGCATTGTTCAGGCATCCAGCATCTGCCCCTTTAATAGGTATTTATAGCCTTTAAAGCGCTCTGTCTGTGCAGTCCTTCAGTGGTACAGACAGCTACAATAGGAAGGGTAAACGTAATCTTAAGGCAGGGGTGAAGCCAAGCTGAACTATTGGAAGGTCATCTGCAAGGAATTCCTGGACAGCTTTCCTCAAGCAGCATTTCCAGAGGCGTGAGAGACAGGAGGGTCAGCGGACACTGCCCGGCTAGCGGGGCTGACCTCCTGAGAGGCCCCGGACACCGTCGGTGACTGAGTGCTTCCCGAGGCTGGAAGCCTGTTAGCTCGGGCACCTCCTGGCAGCGAAAGCGGGGATGTGGGGTATGTGGCCCACAGGACCCTGAACAATGTGTTTTGCACTGACCCCAGCCTCACACCTGCTGCCTGGGGAACCGTGTTTGTAAGCATGGAATCCTGTTTGTGAATTCACAGGCTCATTCTTTCTGGTTTTTCCTTTCTTGCTTAGGAGAGGGACTGAGTGGATGGCTTGCAGGAGCACTACTGGCTAAAACTTGACATGGTGACACCAGCATAGAGAACCTCCAAAGGAGGAGATACCGTGGCCACGAAAATCAATGCCTCAGAGAGGACAGGTGCTGGACATCAACTTTTCTCTCTCATCTTCAGGATGGTATTTAAGCCGGCTACTTGCTGAGCAGCGTCTGCACTGACATACTTGAATAACAGAATGCAAGCCTGGTGATGTTTAACAGGTTTGCTGTCAGCTACATCTGCACCTGTGCCTTATTTCAGCTGTCCAGGTTTCCACTTAAATTGAATCGAAAAGCAGACTGTGAGGCAGAAGAAAAGAATCATACTTAAATTTTTTGCTAAAAAAGTTACTGTTTATTAAAGTACAATCTTGAGCATGGTCTTAACATCAGCTTGTCCTGTTTGAGGAAAGCAAGGCTCAGAGGAAAATTGCATATAGCCTTACAAAAGGGAGGAATTCCACCCAGACGAGAGGTCTCTAAACAGCACAGAAGCCAGTCTGCTGTGTAGACCAGGTGGCGCAGAGTTTTGGCCTCAGGTGCTGCTGGCAAATATGGGAAACTCCGACCTGCATATTAGGTGTGCAGCATTTCCAGCTCTGTTCTCCTGAGCCAAGGAGGACCTCAGGCATTGACAGTTGTGATTGGTGATGTAAAGGCCCATGTCAGTGACTGTTTTTCAAAGTCAGGTACTTATATGTACTGTTTTTCTTTCTAATAAATGAAAGCATTGATAAAAATTTCATCAGCTGATGGTTAAAGCCTTTTTTATATCTTCAGTGTCTCACTCAGCTTCCAGGCTGAGAATGATGTTAGGTTTCAAAGGCGGCACTAACGAGGCACCCTTTCCTAGAGACGCAAAGGATGGAATGGGTCAGGACACAAGGACAGTCCTATCGCACTCAGGAAAGGCCAGAACAACCCAAGGCAAAGCGCCCGTTTAGGAAGGGCATGCAGGAGGCCACGCCTTAGGACTGGTTTGCAAGTGTGGCGATGGGTGGTGACCATGCTGGGTCCATGTCGCAGAGTCCCCTTTCACTTTCACTGTAAAGCCCATCTTATTGTGAATAGGATGCTTTAGGGAAAGTTCACGAACAAGAATAATGAAGTACCAATGAGTAATTTCTTGTTACCCATCACATTTTTGTTCCTTCAGTTTCATCAGAAAAGAAAACTACGCTTCTTGGTCAGCATTAAATACATGCCACACAGCCAGGTGTGGTGGTGCACGCTTGTAAGCCCGGCACTTGGGAGGCTGAAGCAGGAGGGTCATTGTGACTTCAAAACCAGCCTGGGCTACATACTGAGTTCAAGGTCAACCTGGTCCATATAATGAAACCCTACCTCAAAAAAGACCAATAAATAAATAAATAAAGCAAACAGGCCACACTAAGGCTGGTGCAGGCAAACAGTTAGAGATGCTAAAAGCAAACATTTTGCCTGCAGTATGGAGGCTACCAATTTGGAAGTAAACCCTCCAGTAATGTTACTATTTTGACTATTTCAGAGTGGAATATCACAGTGGGAACAAGTCAAATCATACATATGTCCACATTCATACATGTACCAGTCATTACAGTCAGTAGGGTACTTCCTTCCTACCCTACTTCTCAGTAGGGTACTTCCTTCCAAAGGGGACAATTAAAAACAACAGGCAAATATAAGTTGATGGAAAAGAGATTTCTAACAGCAAATAATCCCAGACTCTTATAATACTGATCATTTATAGCAGTTTTACCTTCTGCTGTTTGACTTAAATGAATACAGTAAGCTATTTACCTTTTGTTTTTTTTGTCTTCTTTTTTATCAGTACTGGGGATCGAACTCATGACCACACATTTGCAAGGCAGGAGCTTATGCTGCTGAGCTAAATCCCCAGCCCCCAATTTTTATTTTCCATTTCTTTTTTTTTTTTAATTGGTACTGGGGATTGGACTCATGACTGCGCACTTGTGCAAGGCAGGCGCTTATAACCGCTGAGCTAAATCCCAGCCCTGGTAAGCTGCTATTTAAATACTGTTCTGAGAGGCCATTGTGTAAATTTTTCCAGACCAGGTTTAATACACCTTCTGGGTTGTAAAGTAACGTTATCCCCCCTCCTCCTATGCTATATAAAAAAATTTCACTGTGTCAAAAACAAATGTTCAAATCTTGGGTGTGTTCCAGTCATGATGTGGTGCATCCTGGAAGCTGCAGGACTCTGCTCTGGTAGCATAGGCTTTTATATGAACGTAATTAGGAGTAACTTCGATTTACAGAATGTTTTTCACTGTTTTTAAAATATTTGAATTGTGACAGAAATTCCTAAAAATGATAGGAACTCTGTTAAAAACGTTCTCCTCTGAAAGCCACTTGGTGTTTTCTAAGTCTTCTCTGGGGTGTTTGGGGAATTCAGGTCAAATCCTTCCTGGCCTCCCCTCTCAGGACCCAGCATAAACTGCTGAGATGTTCAAGGATCCCTTGAAGGATCTCCGCTCCTGAGGCCCATTTATTTTCCTAGGACTTCATTCCCAGATGTGCTGACTAGGAACTGGATTCAAGTATCCAGGAGTATCACACAAATGTTACCATCATGTTTTAGAACCTGGAGTGAAAGTATATTCAAGGTGTGACTAAAGTATTTAACTTGCTGCATAGTTTTTTTTTAAGTTGTGCTAAAACACACTGCCATTAACCCCCCTCCAAATACTCCCCCTCACTTTATTTGATGTTTTTGTCTTTTTGAGTCAGGGCCTCACTATGCAGTTCCTCCACTCACAGCAGTCCTCCTGCCTCAGTCTCCTGAGTGCTGGGATTACAGGTGTATGCCACCACCTGCCTCTCCCTCACTTAAAGCACACCTTTCCCATTATTTCTGTCACTTTGTAAAGCAGTTCTGGAAATCTTTTTTCATGATTTGTTTTAAAATGTGATTTAAGAATACAGTAAAAAATCCTTAAGATGTGTCACGCACATGTGTGATCTCTCCAGGGCCATGATATAATCACTGTGTACTGCAAATGTACTAACAAGAATGGAAAATGATTAAAAATATGGTGAGGGGCCCAGGGACACAGCTTAGCAGCACAGTGCCTGCCTAGCAACTATGAGGTTGTGAGTTCGAGTCCTGGTTACAAGAACAAAGTGCGTCCACGGATGGTAGGACAGGTGCTGTTGCCAGGTGCCGCTCCGTGGTGAGGCTGGCCTGTGAAACAGTGCTGTGTCCTTGTCTATCTCAGGCACACGCCTCACCCTGTGGGCCTTCTGGCTTTTTCAAAGTGACTGTGAAGACTTGAATGAGTCCCAGATGCTGCGGTGCATGGTGTGGTGGTGCTCACCGTAATCCCAGCCTTGGGAGGCTGATGCAGGTGGACTGCCGCGAGTCTAAGGCCAGCCTGGGCTGCGGGAGTAGGGAGGTCCTGCTTCAGGTAGGGGAACGGAACAGAGCTAGTGGGCCAGCCATGACATCATAGCCAGACAGGCAGGAGGCTTCCAGAACCACTTTGGAGCATAAGAGCAGAGCAGTGGGGACGCATGTGAAGCCGGTGGGGATGCTGGAAGTCAGCAGTGGCAATGCATCTTCTACTGTAGATTTAAACACTCACTGTGTTTCTCCGTCACACCTTGTGTTCACAAACACTGCAGCATCACTAGTTGAAGGCACCTAAGCTGACCGTGAGGCTGCCACATAGATACAGGTATCCTCTCTGGAGGACTCGCAGACTGCCACTGGGTTGTGCGCTTCCCACCGGATCCCTCTGTACAGAGGCAGTGCGGTCCTCCGGGCTGGGAGCACCTGGCAGAGGTGGGCAGGAAGGGCGGCAAGGGCACCAGGGCCCGAGACCGCGTAGGCACACAGCTGCTGCCTAGCCAAGCGCTTCTGTCACCCCCAAAATTAACCTTTAACCCAGGCCTGGGGGGGATGAGAACATCAGAACCAGTTAAAGAAATGAGGGACGGCAGGGAATGGGGAAACCAGCGGCAGCTTCTTTCTCAAGGTAAATCCTTATTGTGAGCCTTTTGCATATTTCAAATGTACCAATAACATTTTTAATGCAGAAAACATGTAATAAAAAACATTTTTAAAAAGCTAGATAGAGACACTTGGCTCTGAGGAGAGAAACAGAAGCCTGCAAACAGGAAAAAGCAGCCCCTCTTTCCTTTCATGCTGGCTCGCAACCCACGCGCTGTGGCTCCCACACTGGACCTGCAGAGGCCGTGTCCCTCCTGCCCTGCTCCGCCCCGAGGCTCTTCACGGGGAAGGTGGCCTTCAGCTCCTTTCCTGGCGAAGCAGGTGCCAGACTGGCAGCTGCTGGTGCACAGAGTGGTGCCCAGTTTCTCCTAGGGGTGCAGTGCAGCCCCAAGACTGTCTGCCTGCTGCTGCTTTTAACCCTGACAACGAAGGTGCCTGGCGAGATGGAAGCAGGCAGTGGGGACCCTGATGGCCTGGATGTGGGTGGGCCGCCGGCCGAGGCGCGGCAGGCCACGGGAAGAAGGGGAAGGCGGGCCGAGCTAGAGCTCAGCAGCGGAGTCTCTGGTCCCCTGAGCGGTCCTTACACGCAGGACCTGCGGACACTGGAGTGTGACTGAGCTAGGGCTGTGGGAGGGGGCCGGGCTTCCCTGAGCAAGATGACCTGGCCAGTCCTACCCTCGAGGCAGGAGGTCGAGCGGTATCCACAGTACTCCGTGCCCCACCTCAACCCCCACCACCACCGTTGATGGCTTCAGCAGGGGACAAGAGACAGGCCAGGGGCCAGAAGAGGGTGTTGTCACATAATGTCACATAACCGGGAGACAGCCGGTGAAGTCGCCTGCTGTGACAAGCGTCTGAGCACTGATGGGGACAGCCATTCGGAGCCCTTGCCGTCCCTGGCCACAAGCTTCTTACTTTTCCACCGAAGAGCATGCTCCATACTTAAGAGGGCGCCACAGTGCCTCTCAGGGCACCGAGCTTGCCTGTCTGCAGATGCGCTCTGGCCTCTGCTCTGGCCTCTGCCCTGGCCCAGCCCAGCCCAGCCGCCCAGGTCGCTCCACAATCACAGCTAAGACCTGAAAGCAGCATGGTGGCTGGGCGAGGCAGCGCACACCTGCAGTCCCAGCACCTGGGCAGGACTGCCAGAGTTTGAGACCAGCCTGGGCGACACAGTGAGATGCTCAAAAAAACCAAACAAAAGTAACTAGACTTGCAGTCAGAAGTCAAAAGTATTGCCCGCCGATTTTGTGCGCAGACGTCAGGGAAGTTAGGAATTCTGACTAGGTTTCCTCCGTCATTTCGGGAGGCAAAGAAACAGGCACAGCCATGGAACCACAGAGATGCAGGTAGACTAACCCCATGAGAGCCCGGCAGTGACCACAGGCATGCTGTAAGTGCTCAACTAATGTGTGCAAACACTAGTTTCCCAGTGTTTTCCAGGAAGAGGACATAGCATGGAAAACACCACTGACCTCACAGTAGAGAGGTGATCTCTATTTTACAGCAGGTCTGGGTTCTGGCACTGTGCGTATCATTGAGGCTTTAAAGAGGCTGAACAGTTGAGGCTATCAGGGGTCAACTGAGGACCCTCCGGCTAGTACGATGGTCACTACATCTATAGCTGTGAAAGCGAATCCATGAAAAGAAATTAATAAAAAGGAAAAATTCCTACTTACTAAATCTTTTATTTTTATGAAATGGCTCTTAAGCCAAAAGTCCAGTGTCCACATCACATCTTTAGAGAAAGGCAGTGAGCAAGCCTGTCACCAGGCCAAGCCCAGCCATGATAGCTGTGCTTCAAGACACACCTGAGTCCACCACTTACACCCCCCACCCAGACAGCGGCTGCATCTGCTGTGCGTCTGTGTGACAGAACAGGCACATTGAGAAGTAGAATAGGGTCCCTTGGGATGGGGTACACGTGAGCCAGGTCAGAGTGTTCCCTGACCTAGAATATTCTCTAGAGGGCAGCAGAGACCATGGGAGTCCTCCTAAGGCACACCTGTGGGCTCAGAATCACTTCAGTAGGAGGCTAAGCTGACGTCTTTAACCCCACACTTTCCTCAGGAAACTGTCACTAGTTTTATGCCAAGTAATAACAAATCATGACATTCAATAGAGCAGCTAAGAGAGTTCCACAGAAGACTCAAGTATAGCCCAGTGTACAGCATGTACTAAAATAAACAAGGCCCTAAGGGTCCCAGCTGGAAAAACAGAAGTTCTACAGAACGGAACTTCTCCTGTACAGGTCACAAAGAACAAGGGTGATACATGGGTGGTTTTGTCTGATACCTGTGCATTCTCTAACTTGGGCGTACTGTGAATCTCACCAAGACTTGGATATTATGTAAGGCAGGATACGAGAAGAACGGACCTTCTACCATTGGCTCTTAAAAGAGAGGAGAGGGACTTGAGGAATACTTTTTTAATGCCTACAAAACCCTGCACTGAGCAGCAGCCCTTGTGGCCCCCGTCCCTCAGCCAGGACAGAAAAGCAGAGGAGGAAGAGGGGTACGGGACACCGGTCACCGGAGGACAGTGTCTAACGTCACCTGGAAAACACACTTGGCCAAGTCAGGTTAACGTTCAGCAGGTGGGAGCAGCTCAGCGGCACAGCGCCTGCTGGACAAGTGGGAGGCCACGAGTTTGATTCCTGGTACCCACCCCCAAAAGCACACCAACAAAATTTTAAAAAGCACCAAGTGCCAGCTCAACACACGCCTTCCTCATTCTTGGTAAACACAGACCCAAAGCACTCTAAGCCACGTTTTTATTGTCCCTTAGCTCAAAAAACAAGAAGCTTAAATGTGCTCAGCCAATAGTTGTGAGGACCCAAAACACCACCAGAAGGAAAGTGTTTTACTAAGAAATGATTTTCCAGAACAAACCAGGAGGCTCACCAGTCTCTCGGCTCTTACCCTACGCTAATACAAACTAACAATGAGCATACAGACTCCTCAGGCAGCTACCAGAAGCCACAGAGGAAAAACACACTTCACCTCGTTCTCCTCCAGCCACATCAGATCCAAATACACCCAAGCCCTTCCAGATACAGTGGCGCCCTGGCTGGCGAACTTCATTTGTTCTGTGATTCTGGAGAAGACACCCACCTCTGTGTGTGTGTGGGAAAGAGAAGTGCGGCTGTTTGCAGCCTGATGCAGTTTGCAAACAAAAGCACTGGAAAATGGAGTAGCACTGTATCTCCCACTAACTGGGACACTGAACAGAAGGACCGGGTGGATGACAGAGCTTAAAACACAAATACACACCTGGATCTCCTCTTCTTTTTTTTTTTTCCCAGATATCTCCTGAAACAGCTTCTAAAAGTATTGCTTTAGGCAGTATTTTTAAAAATAAATTTCAAAAAGAAAGCACATTCAAACGTCAGGTCTTAGTGATCAGGGTAGGTAAAGTATTTTTATTATAAACTTCAGGATCTAAAAAGTAATTTGTTAACAACTACTAAGATAAATCTGAGATGACTTCTTATCCAGCTGTGGGCCCTGCAAAATAACTGTAGCCCTCAGGCCTGAAAGGACACAGCTCCACCCCTCGAGGAGGGATGGGGCAGCCTGGTGAGGCAACTCAAGCCGCTGCCTTTTGGCCAGCGCAGTGGCTTGGGCACCCAGCTTCTTGCCCTGGCACCTGAGCTGTGAAGAGCACAGGGAAGAGGCCTCCGCTCCTGTACAGTGAAGTTCAAACTGGAACCTCACCATAGCTTCACACTTGGGAGTTCAAGCTTTTTATTCTCACTTTAAATTTCAGTGATATTTGGGATTAACTGATAAAATATTTATCATTTTATCTCAATGATAACACAGTTAATAAGTTACGACCCAATTCACTCTGTAAGTCTGAGGACAAAATCCTCACCACACTGTAAGAGACCCACGAACTAGATGACCAGTCTTAGGACAGGCCAGATGCTGGGAAAAGTATACTAACCCAGGGTTATACAGCAGTGCATGACCCTGGAGCAGCTGGCAAGTCTCTGGAGGCCAGTGGGGTGACCAGGACAAAAAGGGCTCGAGGAGGCCCAGCAGGTCAGTTGGGTCCCCCGCTTGCCTCTGTCTCACAGCCAGTAACTTGCAGGTTAGGTCTCATTTTTGTTCTTATCTACGTATTTCATTTTTTCAAGCTTCCTAAAGGCAGCATCTCTGCAAAGTGGAGCTGCAGGAGGCCTTGGGCTCATCGGGTACGGTAGGGGTGTGGGACAGGCCTGGAGGGGGCTGTGGGCAGAACAGCAGTGTAGAACCTGAGAGACAGTGCGACACAGGGGCAGGACAGCACCCTCACCTTCACCCTCACCTCAGGGATGGTGAAGGGAAGAGGAGGTGGAAGAGGAGCAACTGAGGGACGCGGGCTGTTCGTCAGGGCAGATGAAACTCCCCAGCTCAGCCTGGAGATCTCTACTGGGTCTTCCTAAGGTAACTCTCTCCATCTGAAGCAGTGGACCTCCACAGGGGATGATTTTGCCCACAGGGGACATTTGGCAATGTCTGAGACATTTTTGGTTTCCTCACATGGAGTGGGGTGCTACCTGCATCTAGCAGACAGAGGCCAGGGCTGTTGCTAACCTCCTCCAGTGCACAGAGGCTTAACAGGATCATGGAAATGTCGTGAAATCCTGTCCTAGAGAGAGTACTTTAGTCATGATTCTGCGTCCAGCACGAGCCACGCCACTGGAATTGACAATCAGGTAGATGGGGCTGCGCTCCATCTACCTCCGGCCCTGCTGCTGAGCAGACCTCCCCAGTTCGCTCAGAGTGTCCATAAATGTCCAATCAGCTGCTGGCAGTTCTACTCCCAGCTAATACAACTAAAACCTTAGACCCTTTTCATCTTCCTTCTCTTCTGAAAAAGCCACTACTTTCTTCTCAGAGCCAGTGCGACCCCAACTGCCACTGCCAGAAGGGCCACAGCGGCGGCCCCTCCAAACAGCAATATGGACTTGCCCTCAGGTGCAGGGAAGGCCTGCACCTCCTGGGCAGAGGGAGGCTCCTCACTGAGCCTCTCCTTCCTCACGGGGGCCTCCTTTTCTCTCAGCAGTGCAGGGGGCACCCCCTCATCTGCTTCATGAGGCTCCACGGTTGCTGCTCTCACCTCTTCTTCACTAAGTTCTACGAACAGAGAAGAAGCAGGACTGGGTTCCTCACCCGAGATCACTTCCGTGCCAGGTTCCTTTGTCTGCAGCGAAGTGGCAGTGATGTGTGGAAGCAGGGGAGCAGGGGCTCCAGGCAGTGCCTCTTGTGGCTCCCTGGCTGGCAAGGCGGTGGCAGCCCCAGCCACCTCCTCTGCACCCTCAGGAATCTCTTCCTTCTCCACATGCACAATATCAGAGTTGGAGGAGTTGTTCTCACTCTTCTCTCCAGCTCCATTGCTATCCAAGCTTTTGACTTCTTCAGGATCCATTGCAATCTGCTGCCAGGACTCAGGGCCAAGAGACACCGGGAGGCTTTCTGTATGCCAGCTCTGGCTTGCTGACAGTGACACAGGCAGGCTCTCTGACTGCCAAGAGGTCGTCACAGTTGGAGACTCTGGGGGGCTGACTTGTCCAGAGTTGTCACTTGGCAGGATGTAAATGTCATTGCTGTCTTCTGCAGTGATGCCAGGGTACTCCTCCTCCTCGGACTCGAGACTGAATACAGTGCCCTAGAAGAGGGAGAGCGGGTCACACAAAGATTGGTCAGTGGTGCAACAACAGTGTCATCAGGGGGTACGTGTGTGGGGCAAGGCAGGTTCAGGGGGTGAAAATGACTGAAGTATGTCATGTGAAGGTACAAATCTGCTCAATGGAGCCCATTAATCTGCATAATCAATATGCACTGAAAAAAAGGTGTGAAAAAAATAATGTCATCCTGGAAAAAAGAAATCCTCCTAAACTCAATACCAGGAATAATTACATTGCCTAGGTCCATATAGTTTCTGAAATGAATGCATTTGTCCATGCAGAGGAAGAATTTTGAAAGCTGTTTTGACCAGTTTCCTTGAAACTAAAATACCCCAAGTTAACTTACGTATTTATATTTATCCAATGTAACTATAAATAAATATAAATGTAATTTATACTTATCCAATGCCATGATTAGTTGGTAACAGCAAAGGAAACTAAGGTACACCTTTGCTCAGGGGACTCATCTTTTGAAGAGTAAGACAGCAATGCCTACCAAAGCGCTGAGGAAGAGCTCGGAGGGAAATGACTTCTGAGAAGAGGGAGCTGCAGAGAGCTTTACGGAAGAATCAGCATTTACCCTGGATTTCTGAAGTGGGGAGATTTTGACAGGTGCAGGTCCCGTAGAAGACACAGTGCTGACAAAAGCACAGAGCTACAAAAAAGCGGGCAGAGCAATGGCCTCGTTTAATTAGTGCCAGTGCAGACAAACATAAAGGATTATGGAGGAATGTGAGTGACAAAGCTCAGAAACAGGAGCTGCCTTCATTCAGTGGTAACGGTCCATTGCAGTCTGAGGTACAGAATCAACATCAGAGCTCAGCTTTCAAAACTACTCTGGGCAGGGGCTGTGGCTCCTGGTACCACAATTGCTCAGCATGTGTGAGGCCCTGGAGGGATCCCTAGCCCGTCCAGAACAAAAGCAAGGCTGGGGATGTAGCATTATGGTGGCATACTTGTCGAGCAGGAGGGAGGCTCTGGGTTGGATCCTCAGTACTGCAAACAAGCAAGCAAACCCTGAAACCGTTGCAGTGGCGGCTGCTGAGGTGGAATTCAGTTTAACACTTCTAGGGTTTAGTGTTTCACTGGCTCTGCAGGTCTAAAGCCCACCGGTGGTCTGGTCATCTATTCAGAGGGTGCCAATAGGTAGTGTGGCATCTGAGCCATTGTTAGATTCTCCACTATCTTATTTTGAAATTCTGTATCATTTTCATCGTTTTGTTGGGTTGGGCTTTATTCTGTTTTGTTTTGTTCGGTTTTATTGTGTCTGATGGCATGGGCAGCTATTTCAAAGACAACAAGCTATAGTATGGTAGCCATTTTGGGTTTGTTACTATCTCATTTTGAAGTCCTGTGTTGCATTCATTGTTTTGTTTTTGTTGCTTCTATTCTGCTCTGTTTTGTTTGATTTTTACTGTGTCTGAAGCTATCTGCAGCTGTTTTGAAGACAGCAAGAGGCATTAAGGTAACCATTGTTGATTTCCTATTGTTTTGAAGTCCTGTGTCACTTACACTGGTTTGTTTTGATTGACTTGTTTCTGTTTGGTTTTGCTTGATATTATTCTCTTTAAAATTAAAAAAAAAAAATAGAGAGCTAGCCCATGCTCTTGAGTAGGAAGAACCAATGTAGTGAAAATAGCCATAGTTCAAAAACACTTATACAAATTCAATGCAATCCCAATCAAAATTCCAATAGTATATCTCACAAAATTAAAGAAAACAATCCTAAAATTCATCTAAAACCAAAAGAAACCTAGAACAGCAAAGGCAATCCTGAGCAACAAAGACAAGCCAGGAGGCATCACAATCCCTGACTTGAAATTATACTATAAAGCTGCTGTGATTTAAAAAAAAAAAAAGAACATAGTACTGGCAAAAAAAACAGACTCGAAGATCAATGCAACAGATCAGAAGATGCAGAAACAACTGCAGACACACTAAGCCACCTTAACTTTGACAAAGGTGCCAAATACATTCACTAGAAGAAAGATGGCCTCTTTAATAAACGGTGCTGGAAAAACTAGCTCTATAAGTGATAAGGATTAAAACTGGACCATATCTTTCATCATGTACTAAGCTAACATCAGAATGGATCAAAATCTTAATATTAAAACAGAAACACTACATCTGCTGGAAGACAGAGCAGGTAAAACTCTGGGAGACACTGGTATGAAGCCTATATGCATGAAACCCTGACTGATCACAGAGGAACTATCACAGAGAATCAACTGGGATCTCATCTTATTGAAAAGTGTTACACAGCAAAAGAAACTACCAACAGAGTAAAGAGATAATGCACAACGTGGGAGAAAATGTTTGTCAGCTGTACCTCAGACAAAGGGTTACTATTGAGAACATATAAAGAACTCAAATATGTACCCCTGTTGCCCCTTGGTTGACATGCTTTGAAATTTTGTTGTAGTTTTTTTTCTTTTTAAATCCTTGAATAAAATGGATTTGAAGAAAATACAGAAAAAAAAACAACAAAAAAGAATCAAAAAAAAAAAAAAATCGGTCCTCCCAGATTTGAAGACCCAATCCAAAAATTGGCATCTGAGAAGAATGAATACACACTTCTCAGATGAAGTACAAATGGCAAATAAATATATGAAAAAATGTTCAACATCACTGGTCATTTGAGAGATGCAAATTAAAACAAACTGAGATTCTATCTCACCCCAGAAAGAATGGCTACTGTTAAGAAATCAACCCATAACAAACGCTGGAGGAGCTGTGGGGAAAAAGGAATCCTTCTCCACAATTGGTGGGAATACAGACTGGTACAACCACTATAAAAATCAGTGTGCAGATCCCTCAAAAACGAGGATTAGTGGTCCCATTCAACCCAGCTATTCCCCTTCTGGGTATCTTCCCAAATATTTTTATTACTGTTTTGCTCTATTCTGATTAATGGTACTACTCTATTCAATATTCTGTTTTGGTAAGTTCTATAATCTTCTGTATTTCATTTTATTTTGATACACGTGATTGAAAGGACAACTATTGTAAAGATAACAAAATATACTATGATACCTATTACTGTTATCCCGGTAACCTGCTGTGAAGTTCTGTACCAATTTCACTACACGGTCTCAGCTGGCTTTATTCTGTCTTGTTCTGTTGTATTTTACCACTTTCAAAATAAAATTTAAAAAATTTTTTAAAAATTCCATCATCTTGTTTTGAAATCCTATGATGCCATTGCTCTTTTGCTGTTGTGATTTTGCTTTTGTGGTCGTTTTTCTCAATGTTTGTTTGCGTCTTGATTTTTCTGTGTTTTTTTTTTTTTTTCTTTTTAAAATAAAAAAGCACAATGCTAGAAAACAGCACATAGCATGCAGGCTTCTAGCTCTTCAGCATTCTATAGCATAAGATGGAGAAGAAAGATGAAGCTGAGAAATAGGAAGGATCAGGTGTCTCTGGGTATGAAACACTGCCCCAGTCAGGCATGGTGGTACACATCTGTAATCCCAGCACTAGGGAGGCTGAGGCAGGAGGATTGCCAGGAGTTTGAAGCCAGCCTGGGCTCTGTAGTGAGTTCAAGGCCAGCCTGGATTTAACAGTAAGACTCTGCCTCGAAAAACAAACAAAAAACAAAAACAAAACAACAAAAAAACTACTGCCTCATTTCATAAAATGTCTTTTTCCCTTCGCTGAACCTGACAAAGATCTTTTTTTTTTTTTTTTGTCTTTTTCCTTTTTATCGGTACCGGGGATTGAACTCAGGACTGCCTGCCTGCAAGGAAGGCGCTTATGCCACTGAGCTAAATCCCCAGCCCCCTGACAAAGATCTTAATTCTACTGAGAAATAAATTCAAATCCCTGCCCCTAAATTTAGCTTTTGTTACACAAAATCAGTATCTCAGAGCAGAAAAGGTTAAGTCTAAGGTACCACGTGGCCATTAGATAAAGGCTCAGTTGACTTATATCTATTCCTAATTATTTGACTCTTCCAGTTAAAAAGCAAGAGGGCAAAGTCATACAACATTGTGAATAACACTATCTCTTTTTGAGCATATTAATGTTCCCCTAGAAAGCCAAATATAAATTTTGGAAAGACTGTAACACGGCACAATTAGAGAAGCATTACAGGAAGCAAAACGAATCTTTTTCTATTCCCAGAGCCAGCATTTAGCCCAATCTGTCTCACCCCTGCTCTAGGTGTTCGTCCTCTGGAGAGCAGTTATGTCCCCATCCACTGCTATGTTAAACACTCAAGTCTTGTCCCTCTCTTCACGCAGACACTGATCTTAACATTTGGAGAGAGCATAAAATGTTACACAAGTATGGAAAAGGAGTGAGAGCTATCTCTTGTATCTTAGTTACTTCTCTCTCCTTGCTGAGAAAAAAATACACATTGCCCACAGTTAAAAGAGGAAAGGTTTGTTCAGCTCACAGTTTGGAGAGGTTTCAGTTCGAAATTGGCTGGCTCCAAGGCAGGGTGGCAGACAGCAGAGGGGCAACTATTTATGGTAGTGGACAGCAAGAGCAACAAGAACAATGAGAGAAACCAGCCTCTTTCTGCCCCTTTTTATCTTACCCAGACTGCTGGAATTAGGGCGGTGCCAACCCAACCAGTGTATGGATCCAGCAATCACCAAGCCTTTATCTCAGCACTGCACTATGAATCAGTCACAAACTCTAGATTCTTCCACCTCCAAAAGAGCCTGCCCCTCATGACTGTATGAGGCTGGGGGGCGGGGCGAGGATCAAGACATAAACCATAACAAACTGTGTGTGTACAGAGCAGCATACCCCTACAGTCCATCCCCAGGCCCCATCTGAACAGCTCTCTTCTGGCTCCCTCAGAGTTTGGCATAAATTCATCCCCTCTGGAGCACTGTGTCCAGCTCTGTTTCTTCATAGGTCTGAGTCTGAGCCACATACAGTATCATAATGAGTATTCATTATACTTCTAATTTTTTTGAGGCAGTTTCTTCCTATATAGCCCAGGCTGGCCTTGAATTAGTAGCAATTTTCC